AGTCAGTCAGTCAGTCAGTCAGTCAGTCAGTCAGTCAGTCAGTCAGTCAGTCAGTCAGTCAGTCAGTGGGATAGTCGGGTAGTTTATCAGTTAGCCAGTTGGTCAGTTGGGTAGTTGGTCACTTTGTCAGATAAGCAAGAAGTCAATTGTGTGGTTGGTTATTTATTCAGTTGGTAAATGGGTCAGTTAGCTATTTGTTTTAATCAAATAGCTTTGGTCATTTGGGGTTGTTATGATAGTTTTAAAGTTAGGCTAGCTAAACGGCTCAGAAAATAAAGACGAATTTTTTTAATGCCGAATATTCATGAAAAACCTAACAAAACCTATGATAAAGTTTCATAGTTATCATGAAAAAATGCACTACACTTCCAAAAAATTGGCAATGTGTAAAAATATGCCCTCGATTTGTCAGATAAAATTGGCAATATGTTGGAAAAATTGCAAGGTGGGCATTAATAGCACTTTGGTAAGATGAGACAATATTCTTTTATCGACAGTTATGGACTCTCTTCAAATTTACAAAAAATATTTTTTTTCACATTCCTTAAAAATGTATGAGGGTTGGCGGGTACTCTTTTTAAAATTTTATATATGTTAAAGAAAATTTTGAAAAGATTTTAAATCTGTTGAATTTAACATAAGCAATATATGTCTACAGAAAGAGAGATGTGTTTTATATTTTCCTTTTCGTGTAGATGAAATGATATATCAGATTTCTCATACCCCCCCCCCCTTCCCTCTTCTCATACATGTGCGTATATCAAATCTATAGGAGATACTAGCTCATTGTATAGTATTATTTTTTCCTCTCTCAGAAGCCGGAAACTTAAGATCACACACTTCCTTGAAACCAGGAACTGTAAACCTGGTTTCAGTATTATTTTTCCAGAGCCCGCGATTAAAAAGCTTCGACTCGAATCTTAATTCGCGGACTCAGATCATTTCCAGTTGCAAATATAATATTGGCACAAAAGCAGAGCACTAATAAAAATGGATATTTTTCATAATAATCTCATACTTTAATTTTCATCTCATGGGATTAAGATGTATAGGCACAATGCACATAGAATGTTGTGCTCAATACACTTAATTTTAGTTAATCTTATCATCTTATCTTATCTTTAGGAATGGTTGATCTCGATGGCAGTGATCCATCCTAAAACGGAAGAAGATCATAAAATCAGTGACATGGTCTTTTCCCTTTTCAGGTTTGTCCTTGTTTAAGTCCTGTAAATTTTCTTTTTTTCCTCTAAGGGTTAACCCCTTTCCTCCTAATTATAAAAAAAAAATATTCATCAACATCAGATTGGCTGTAAAATAGCAATTTCGATTCAATTACCCTTCAATCTGAATTTTCTTCTCTTGTTTGTGAAAAGTGTCCCCATCTCTTTGATTTTTAGAATTCAGAGATCACAAAGAAATGACAAGATCAGTAATTAGGCAATAAGCGTTATTTCACATGACCCTCTATGCAAAGATGTCGATGCTTGATTCACAACAGAACCCCTAAAAGCTTTTTTTGATCAAGTATGAATTAAATATTCATGTTAATAATTTGAAAAACTGATCATTTTCAATTGTGGTTTCTTTCCAAAAGAAGATTTTGCTTTTCTACTGCGGAAACATATAGAAACTTAACCTAGAAATATCTTCCACATTATTGATTAAAGTAAGGTTTCAAGGGTACCTTAGTGAATCGGGAATTGCCGCCTTTCCATGGAGGGTCACTTGAAATTACGCTTGAAGTCCCTTTAACCTTGAACATTACATTAAAAGTACTATCTGATTAAGACCTGACGAAAGCTTTTAGACCAAAGTCCAATTTATTTTTATTATTTTGTAGAATGTTACTGCACCATGCTATCAAGTTTGAATACGGTGGTTGGAGGGTCTGGGTTGATACACTAGCTATAGTTCACAGCAAGGTAAAGAAGTTTTGAACTCTAAAAAGGGATTAACTAAATAGTTTGGGTTGATACACTAGATATAGTTCACAGCAAGGTAAAGAAGTTTTGAACTCTAAAAAGGGATTAACTAAATAGTTAGGGTTGATACACTAGATATAGTTCACAGCAAGGTAAAGAAGTTTTGGACTCTAACAAGGGATTAACTAAATAGTTCGGGTTGATACACTACTAGCTATGGTTCACAGCTATGGTAAAGAGTTCTAAATAGGGATTAATAAAAAGTAAAAATTAGAGATTATTTTTGTTCAATTAATCTAAAAAAGGTTGATATTAGACAAACTTCTTTTTAAACCAAGTCTAAGGGAAGGTTTTTAATTCATTTATTCTAGAATAAAGATTAATTTATTTATTATAGAATAAAGATCGAGATAAAGATATCTAGTTATACAATATAATATTCCTGGGTACATTTATTATAGAATAAAGATTATTTCATTTATTCTAGAAAGAAAACCATTCAGTTGGTCCAAATTTTTAAGTGAGCAACTATTGTGATCATTTGAACTATAATCGTATTATTCCATTAGATCATTTCTCAGTAATCCTCTTAATACATAACTCTGTAGGTTTCTGCGTACCCCTGTACACTGATCCTTGTGTTTAGGTTAGTTTTGAGGAGTTTAAACTTCAGTTTAGCGCTATGTATGAACAATATGAGCGCAGAAGAGCCGACACTCTCACAGGTAAATTAACGCGCACGCACTTTTTTGTGAAATGTTCTGTCGAATTTAAAAGGGTTAATTTGTATTAAGAATTAATCTAAAATCTTTACTGTCTATGCATAATACATTTAATCAAAATCAGTTATTAAAAGTTAGTAAACTTATGAAAATAGAAGTTTAAGGAATATTGCCAATGATCAAAAAAACTAAAATACAAATTTCGCAGACCCTATTGAGAGATCTCAACGCCCTATATCTACAATATCGGGTTGGGACGAGCAGAAGGGTCAACCCACAGAAGAATTGGAGGAACAGAGGTTCAAGGATGTAGACAGCGATGAGGAAGAGGACGAAGAGAAGAAGTATGATAATGACGAAGAAGAAGAAGAGGATGAAGAGGAAGAAGAGAAGGAAGAAGATGAAGAAACTGAAGGAAAAGAAGATAAACCTGAAATATTTAAAGCTAAATCAATCCAGGAAGACGAAGAAGAGGAAGAAAGCGATATCCCAGAAGAAATTGAAGAGAAAGAGGAGGAAAATGAAGATGAAAATGATGCAGACAAAACTGAAGATGTTAATACTGAAATTAAATCACCTTTAGAAATATCGAAAAAAGATGAAAGTCAGGAAGAAATCAAAAATGAAATAACAAAATCAAAAGAGGATGAAACTCTTAATGATAAAGAAAATGAGGAGATAGAAGATGTTAAGAAAGAAGATTTAAATGATGAAGCTCTTGAAAAGACTGCTAAGAATGAAAGTGTTGAAGACAAAATAGAGGAAATTGATCACGAAAAGGACGAAAGTGAAAATACCAAAGACGTGGTAATCAAAAAAGAAGAAAACGGAGATAAAGAAGAAAGCAAAGAAGAGAACAATGAAGAAGGAATAAGTGAAGAAGAAATCAATTCAGTAGAAGATTGCAAAGAAGAAGAAAACAAACACAAAGTCAGTGCAGAAGAAGATAAAAAAGAGAAAGAATCTGTAAAATCTCCAGAAAAGAAAGATAATGCTGTCGAAGAGGAAGAAACAGAAAATAAAGAAGTTGAGAATATATCCTCGAAGTTGGAAGTAGTTGTTTTGCAAGAAACGCCTGAAATATCTGTAACGGAGCCGGAAGAAGAGAAGGAACCTATTAAAGAAAACGGAACTGACTTCGAGGAAATAAACATTGATGAGGATCAGGAGCCTGAACCCAAGGAAATCCACGTGATCAATTTAGAGAAAACCCCGCCAAAATTTGTCAATGGAAAGAAGGTGATAGAAATTTCCACGGATTTCCTTGATATAACAACCAGTGATTGTGAAAGTGACATGAACACTACTCGTGATGAGAATGATACTCATGTCGGAGATGAGTTGGATACAGCTGCTACTAGAAAGATGGCGGGCACTTCCGATGTCAAGAAGAAAAAGATCGAAATTGCCACGACAGATGACAGCTACGAGAATGAAGTAAAAAAGGACAAATCTGCGAAAAGACAGGTCTAAATTCTAGTAATTTTTATTATTCATAATTAATTTTTTATTTACTTTTAACTTTATTTAGACTTTTAGTCCTGGTCCTGCAAGACCACCTTTCCGAATCCCGGAGTTTAGGTAACAAATAAAAAAACTGAAAAAAGTCTTTCATAATTTATTCTTATTTTTTTAAAGATGGTCTTACATTCATCAACGACTGCTGGCAGATATTCTCTTCAGTTTGGAAACAGATATTCAGGGAATCATTCATTCATCCATTTAAAATACCTTTTAGTCATTCTTTCCATCATCCTAACATTATTTTAGTCATTCAATTTTTCATACTTTGATTCCTTCCTTCATTCATTTATTCATTTAAACATTCTTTTATTCATTCATGATTCATCTCTTCATTTATTCATCCTTTGATTTACTCTTTGATTAATTCATTTTTTCTTCCTCTGAGTAGTTCTTTCATTTATTCATCCTAAAGTCATTTTAGTCATTCATTCATTTTTTCATCCTTTGATTCATTTCTGATTCATTCATACATACATACATTATTTAGTTTTTCATTTATTTTCATAATTTTTCATCTTCTCATTTAATAAAATTGGTCTGTCCATTTATAAATGTACTTATAAATATATTTGCTTATTTTATTTAAAAGGTAATTATTTATCCCTTTAATATTAAATGAATGGCTGCTGTAGGTTTGGAGATCTCACTCAACTAAGGAAATAATTATATTCAAAACAGAAATAGTAAACTAAAGGGACTTACGACCGAATTGTGTGTGAATAGGAGGTCATATGTTTGGTTTGAGGCCTGAACTTGATATTCACAGCGGAAACTTTTGATTTACAGTGATTAATTTCTTAATCCGTCAAACCAGCTAATCTGTAGTTAAACGATACTCATTGGCTGAGAGCATATTCTTGTCATGGCTAATTTGTTTGATCTTTATAGACATCAAATTCGGATTATGTAGAACTAAAATATTGATAAATGCTCTCTTGTGGTATAAGGCGGAAAACGGATTCGAAAATATAAAATAGCTTGATATGAACTGAATTTATTTAAGTTTACAGATCCAACCCATCATTTTTGTAATAACTGAAACCACTGCAATATCAGCTGCTAATATTAGAGTTGCCATTTTGATTGAAAAACAATTGAAGTTTATTTTTAAATCTAACTCTATTTATATTATTTATTTATCCATAAAAAGCTATTAATTGACATTGGCAAGATGTTTTGAACAAATGAAGTTTATTTAAAAATCGAACTCTATTTATATTTCTTATTTATCCATAAAAAGCTATTTATTGACATTGGCAAAATGTTTTGGCATATATGGAATAAAATCAAAACTTTTACTAATGTCATAATATTTGAAAATATAATTGGTTTTTGAATTTATCTGTTTATTTTTTTAAATCTTTGTTCCTGTACTTGAATATAAAAATGTAGTCTGTGCTGGATTTTGTCAACTCTACCGAGAATAATATCTTTGTGGTTAACACAGTTCATCTCATCTCACAGCTTACAGACAACCTCATCATAGCTTGCGGGGTATGTACACAATACACATGCATGTACATTGTACATGTACAAAGCTTGAATAAATTTACATTTACACACATAAAACAGTACATCTTATCTCACAGCTAACCGACAACCTAATCATAGATTGCGGTGTATGTACACAATACACATGCATGTACATTTAAAGGGGATGGTGGAGTTGGCACATTTGATGTAGGGGGGGGGGGCCCTGCCTTCATTTTTGGTTCAAATCTTCCAATTTTTTGGGTGCACGCCTAATTAGTGATCGAAATTCATAAAATAAAATCAAATTGAATTTTAATGACCTCTAATGACCTCTAATGACCTCTAATGACCTCCAGAAATAGAAAATATTTCAACTATGGCTTTATGCACATCAAACGAAAGCTAGGGACCCAGGGAATACAGTAGCAGCAAAAAATCCAGTGTTTGACCTTCTAATGACCTCTTACGACCTCTAATGACCTAAATGA